ACAACAACCCAAGTCAGACTACACCTATAGTACCTCACTCACTTACCGCGATCGAGTGACCCCAGACCGGAAGATCGGGTCCCCAAACATGTCCCGTCGGTCTCTCAGGGGTGGGAATGTGGGCTACCTCAAATCCCCAGATTTCTCAGACATTGGGTTGGATAGTGAACAGACGACCAGTAGCCTTAATCTCAGGAACCGAGCAGTACTTAGGTCCATGGATGCTCTGTCAGGTAAGGCGTTTGCAACTGTTTTCGTACCTCTGCTGTTCGTACGTTGGGCAGATGGAAGAGGGGGAGGGGGGGGGCTTTTAAGTAGAGTGTTTAATTTTTTTATTTGTGGTAGTATGTTTTATATTGTATCCTGTGTATAGGTGACTTTGTCCTTAGTGATTGTAAGCCTATTTCTTTTCTGGACATATATATTTATTGAGTAATATATTTGTGATTTAGATATAAAACAGTTTATAGAAAAAGGAACTAGTAGTTATATTGTTATTACCCCACAAAGCAAGTAATATTAATCTGATAGAAATAAATCCTGCAAATAGATTTATTCTTATCGTGCTTTTTTGTGTTTTTAGATACCAGCGATGCTGAAGACACGCAGGAACAGCTTATCATACCCAGGAGAAGATCCAGTAGGAGTCGAAGTATTGATGTCATGCCAAAGTCAAATGGCACAGCGATGAGCCGAACAATTACATCTTCAAGTGAGTACATGTTAACCTGTGTGAATTTTATTTCTTTTTTTTTGTAATTTGTCTATAAATGATACATCTGTCTCCTCCTCCTCCTCCTCCTCCTCCTCCTCCTCCTCCTCCTCCTCCTTCTCCTCACTGTCAGGATAAGGATTTACTTTTTGCAATAAAAGTATATACAGTGTAATAGATCAGATGTAGATTTCATGAAACATTTTAGAATCACACATCTTTTGTTCCATGAAATGCTATAGAAAGTTTCAGTACTGTTATCAGTTGTAGGCATACCTATTGTATCGGAGGAGCATTGCATGTAAGCACATGCTTATCATTTTAAATTCATATCTGTTTTTTCTTCTAAAGTCAAGTAATATTTCATTACCAGCTTACACAACCACAAGAACCCTCCACCGTGGCCTTGATGCAGACAGTGATGTTGATGATGGCAGTGAGTCTACAGTCCCAATTCGTGCAACACCGCTGACGGCAAGAGGTGGAACTCCCCTTGGCCGATCCTCAACGCCACTCACCGGATTGAGAAACAGATCATCACTCATTGCTGAAAACACCAGAGTGGGCTACACTTTGGCAAAGGGGGCCATTGCTGAAGACATTGAGGAAGAAGATGAGAAACCCAAAAGTAATTGTTTTTCCCTTTTTCATAAGTGTACAAGAATTTTTCATTCACTATTTCATCACTTTTGCCTTCCAGTAATGACTTTCATTTTGCAAGAAATACTTGGTTAATATAGTCATGAACAGAATCTTGAAGCAATTTATTAATGTAGAGAGAATTGAAGGTTTAGTGTGTGTATGTGTTTGCATAAAATGTAAAAGTTACTAATGAGTTCATTGCAACAACCAGATACTATTGTGGCATGGAGTCGGAAGAGCTGGGAGACTGTGGTGCGAATGACAATGATAATGACCACATCAGTGATAGCCATGGCCACAAGAGCAGTTACAGCCACTACCTCAAATAAAGTTGATGAGGATCCCCAGTCGGAGAAGGCCTCTCAGTCGTCACTCATATCCAGAATTAACACAACGCGAAGGAGGATGGTAACCTCGACAACCGAGTACTGGGAATCGACGAAGGAACGCCTTAGGAAGAACCCCATTCTGATCTGGATCCCTCTGCTGCTCCTGCTCCTTATACTGGCTCTTGTGGGTGAGTTGACGTTGCTTGTTGTTCCTCCATTCGGTATGTAATGCTGCATGCGTATTTATATCAACACCTGTTTAATTTTATGTGTAAGTGAAGCCACCTTATCAAAACATGATTGAGTGGATGAAATGTACATTATCAATATATTTCAGGAAAGGATTTTTACTATGGTTACTATTATTACTGGGAATGTAATGTTCTCACTCAGTTAACCCCTTCACGACGGGTGATGCCTATAGGCGTGAAAACAAAGTGCTCGAAATGTGGCGTGTGGCTGTATGCTGCGGCGGCATGCCGGTGATTCGGCCTGATGCACCGAACTCCCACACTCAAAGTCAGCGCACTGCCATTGATCGCCAGAGCATAGTTTTTTTTTTTTTTTTTTTTTTAGTTTTCTTCACCCGTCACTATTGGGTTAAGAGGATATGGAAGGAATCAAAATCACAGTTTATGGTTTCCACTCAGATGCAAATGGTTACTCTCAGATAAGGAAGTTCTTTCACATATATTTAAAGAAATAAACAATTATTTACATCCTATATATCTAATTCTGGTGATTTGAACTACAATTTTGAAGATTTGATATTGTATCAGTTCTGTGCTACAGGTGTTTGGTTAATTTGTCATTTATTTATTCATAAATTTATATGATCTTTTTCATATAATAATAAAAAATTGTAGTTCAGAAAAAATGCTTTAGCTACATAATAGTCTGTGGAATGAGCAATTTGGCTTCTGATTTAAAAACAGATATGCAATTTTTTAAGAATCAACAGTGATTGGAAATAAAAAGATAAATACTAATAGATTTAAAACTGTTAGGAACTGATGAGCTTAACCTCTTGATGCTGGGATGGCAGAATATGTGTCATGGCCACAGTGCTTTTGGTTTCTTAGTTGTGTTTGCACATAGATGGCTCTGCAAGGGCATAATCACCAAGGAGTCAATTTTTGTAATACCAATCTTACCTTTTTATTGATTTCTTTGGATTTTGAAAAAAAAAAAAAATGTTTTTCATTGTTATTACTATTGGTAATAACATAGCAATCATATTGTCAGTAAATATAATGACAAGAGATACTAACCCAGGAAAATGTTGTCTTTACTGGAATATTCTTTTGTGAAATGTCCCTGCACATAGATGGCTCTGCAAGTGATTAGCCACAAAGGAGGCAATTAGTAGACCTTGATTTCACCTTTCCTTGAGTTTTTGGATTTTTTTTTTTTTTTTTTTTTTTTTTTTTTTTTTTTTTTTTTTTTTTTCTTCCTCCTCTCCCAGTAATTCTGTGATTATCAGTGCTGTTATTAGATATTATAATTACTATATTGCTATTGGGATTACTAACAGCAATATTAGATACCCAAAAATGTTCCGAAAATCAATAAAAAGAGCAAACAGACAAGACAATGAAACTCATAATTGGCTCATTGGTTACATAGCACTTGTGGAGCCATCTGTGTGTAAAAGCCATTAATCAATTAAACTTACAGTAGGCATGACGTGTATGTACATGCCATCCCCGACGGCTTTGAGTTAATAGTACTAAAGAAAAGAAAAGAAAAGAAAAAAGGAAAGGGGAAATCTGGTGAGGCCTAATAATGGCTCCTTGGTGGCTGAGCACTTGTTGAAACCTGCAAGTGCAAACAAAATTCACAGGACAAAACTACCGTGGACAGTATATATACCTGTATTTTAAGCACTTGACATATTCTATGATTCATATGATCTTCGTAAAGGGATCATCCACCAGATTATCAGTTAGGGAATTTAGCCATTTCTCCTCATTTTGTGAAGAGCACGTCCTGCCTGCTTCGATAAATGTTCGGTAGATTGGGTTTCGTAGTAAATTTGTGCATAGGGTTTGGCTCTCAGTTATCTCATTTAAGATAGTGCGATTGTTATATGCACAATATCTTTTTGGTTGTACTTGATGTTCAGCTTAGATACACAGGAACTAGTTTTGCACGAAGTAGATGCGACTGCAGGTTTAAATCATTATATTACAATGAAAAATAGTTTTCTTTAGTGTTATTTTTGTTAGAATGTGTAGCAACTAACATTTGTTTTCAAACATGGTTGAATACTTTGAACTCCCATCTGAAATCTGATTGGGCACACTGCTGAATAAGAGCAAGGAGAATATCTGAGCTTCAAGTCTATATTCTAAGTTTTGTGTGGCTTGCTGTGTTCTATTTTAAGGGCTGATATCTCGAGAATAAGCTCTGGAAACTGTGGAGATTTTTATTTTTTTATTTTTTTTATTTTTTTTTTATTTATTTTTTTTTTTGCTGGATTTTTTTCTTTGCTTTAGTGATGAAATGGAAAAAGTCTTGCTTGTTTGTTGTGATTATTCTCTTTTTTTTCCCCTTCTTTTTGGGATATAAAACAATATAGGATGATAGAGAGAGAGAGAAAGAAAGGAGTTACTTGATGTATTTAAGTTTCTATTTCAAGCCAAATGATTTTCCCTTATTGCCTTTACAACCAATTGTATTATGTAAAGAAAGAAAGAAAATAGAAATATCCACAGTTCAGTATCATGGCCTCTATGATATTCAAGCAGATATAAACATCATGCTTAATTTTTTTGGTGTTAATCTTTCATGAAGGTTATTTGTGCTGATTTGTTGTTTTCAGGTTGCAACATACCAAGCTCTCCAACCAACAGTACTCAGTCTACTAATAATGCTATTAATAATTCTCTAATAACTTGAATATTTCCTTTCCTCTGATAAAAAAAAAAGAAACTTGAAAGCTCTTTTATTTGATCTTGTCTCTTTTCATTCCTCTTAAGATAGTATTATGGAAATCACCAATGCCCAACCTTAAAATGAGTATTGGTTTACACATAAGTGCTAGTTGGCATTTGTAAAATAAGTGCTGCCTGTAGTGCACTTAAAGTATGACGTGTGATTAGCATGTGGTAGTTTGCAATCATAGTTGAAGTATTACCTATAAAGTTTTATAACTGCATGTGCCATGTTAATCAGACTGCATGATAGCAGTATGTATGAGATATGTTACTAATATTTGTGTAGAGGGGGCTTTCTGCTAAGTTAAGATTTCTTCTCTCCATTAAAATATGGTTACCAATATTAAGAAATCCCCTCTTTTATGCTTGTAAAGCATTCACCTGATAACATGAGCCAAGAAAGCAGTTAAATTAGTTGCCTGATGCTTAAAAGGAATTCCAAGCTACAGATGCTCTATGAAAAAAAAATATAAATATTGTCACTTAGGCATAAGCAGTTTGAATTGTTGGTATATCATATTTTAGTTCATACTTATGTATTTCTGTTTCTGATATTGTTTAAAAGGTGAAGTAATGATGTAATTATCGGGACTAAAATAAAAAAAAAAGGGGAAAGTTGTTAAAGTTAATTACGATTCATGTTATCAGAAGAATGACCAGCTAATGATAATTTTCTCTACTAACAGCTTACTGGTGGCTGTTGCAGTCCCGTGCCAAGACAGGTGATGCTACTGATCCCAAAGAAACTGATGGAACCTCATTCCTGACACTTCTTGTGACTTCTGTCTCTGACATGACCCATTCATCAATATCTGGCATCTCTTGGGGTTTAGGCCTTGCTTGGCTGTCCCTTGTAGACTTGTGTGAATGGATTGGATCTGCATTTGTTGCCGGTGCATCTGCTGCTTGGGTATCAGTTTCGGGCATGTTCACATGGCTTGGGTCTGTGACGTATGCCTGCCTTGCTTATGCATTAGACTGGCTGTATATTGTGTTAGGGTTCCTGCAGTATATAGGCCTAGCCATCCTAAGTTTCTTTACTTCTGGTGTCTCTTATCTCTCTGCCCTCTTCCTTCCTGTCAATGATACCAATAACAATGTGGATGAAGCCCAAACCACCACTGAAGACGTCAAATCGTGGAGCGTGGTTGGCTGGGTCTCGAGCATCGTCTCCAAGGAAAGTTTCTCTCAGTTATATGCAAGCGCTACCGAAATAACCCAAACCTCTGGAAATTGGTTATGGAATAGCTGGCTGTGGCTTATTGTGACCCTTGGAGAAGCCCTAACTTCTGCTGCTACTTACGCTCAGTGGCTCCTCTACAGCCTCCTTTCTCTTGTTGTCTACCTTTTAACGGGACTGTGGAATCTTCTGGTATACTTGTTCCTTGGGCTGATGGGCCTTATCACATCAGCTGCATCGTCAGTCTCATATGCTGCTGTTACAACATCTTCGGCTGTGACCAGCGGTGCCAAGATGGTAAGGCACTATATCTCTCTGTTGTTATTATTATTATTATTATTATTATTATTATTATTTATTTATTTATTTTTTTTAGCAAATACTTGTAGAATATGATGTTCAGATCATTGTTTACTATATAAAAAAAATAGGATTATTTAAAGTTAAACAACTTTCATGGATTAACCATTCTCTTGCTTTCTGTTCCAGATTTTCCTACCTTTTTATGGATCTTCTGAATCAACAAAGGAAACCACCAGTAAAACTGTCATCACAACTCCAAAAGTGGAACAGAATGTCAATGTGAACAATCCCTCGGTAGTTGAAATTGTGGACCGAGTATTGGGAAGTGAGGAGTTGAAAACCCTCATTGCAGCTGTGGCATCAGAGAGTTCCACTAAGGGGCAGTTGACTTTGGATGATGTATCAAATCTTGTGAAGTGAGTATTGTGGGTATAAGGCTAGTAGAGCATGATACCTGATTTAGAAAGTTAATGATCAATTTTTATTATTCTCTGTTATTAAGTGAGTAAATTTGCATTGTTTTTCTTCAAAGATCTGTTGTTGAAGGAGAACTTACCACCTTCAAAGAGGAAGCGTCTGCCTTGCGAGACGAGGTGGGCTCAAAGATTTCAATAACAGAGGATACCAACAACTACATCTTGTCTATGCAGGCACATCAAGAACACCTTATCAAGCAATTGGATGAGGTATGGAAAATTGTGTGTCCTTCATTTCTTATATATTGTTATAGTTTATTTTTGGATTAAGAAGCATCATTCTTGAAATTGTCTATTATTAAGTTATCCTGTTTTGAATGTGTCATCTAGGGATCCATCTTTCAAAGTATTGTTACTAATTTGTTTTCCGAACCCTAGTTGGGCACAAGACTAATCAAGATGGAAGGGTCTAACGAGGAGAGTCAGAAACTATCAGCAGAACAGCGTCAAGAGTATGAAGACCAGTTGACAGGTCTCAAGAAGGAGATAGACCTGCTTGGCACCCATCTCAACAAATTACAGGTAAGAACATTTTTGGATGGAAGAAGATCCACAGTTTTGCAAAATTGAAAATTAGCACTAATAGGGTTATTACAGTCAAAAGATGACCATTGAATGTTAATTGATTTAGAATGACTTCTTGAATTTTCTTTCTTCTTCCATATAACAGACCGACCACACCAACCTTGCCACTGAAGTTAAGAGCTGTTGCAAAAATAGCAGTCTGACGTTAGCTGACGTAGAGAGACACGTCACCACTTTACTTGGGGACATCCTAGGCCTACCAGCATCCTCTCAAGATGAAGGAGCAGAAGATGGAGTGAATACCTGGAGTGCGGGAGAGATGGGTGCATGGCTGAAGAGCTATTTTGTTGCCAAGGATGAGCTGGAAACGAGACTCAATTTGCTAACAGCTTCAATGCAAATGAAACCAGTGGAAGGTATGCTTTAACATGAACAATTTTTTCCTAATTACTCGCAAGGAAGGTGAAAATGATTTTTGGAACTTTTCTTGAAGTTATTATTATTATTATTATTATTATTATTATAAGGGTAATGATAATGATATTGACTAGAATATTAATAGTTATAATGATTATAATAATAAATATAAGAAACAAGGAAAATAATGAAGAGAGAAAAAAAAAGTAAAAGAAAAGCACTAGATTTATGTCTGTATCATGAGACTCTTCTAGAGAAATGATGAATTTTTCTTATATACGTATACATAATGAATGAAACCTGAGGAATGTTGTTTTAAAAATTATTTAGAATAGGGGTGTGTGTCTAAATGTTAGATTTTATTTTGTATGATATAATTTCTTACAGGCATTTTGAATTTGAATTGGGAATGTGTGTGGGGGGGGGGATGTAAGTGTTTTGCATCCTCTCTTGAATTTTTAATGTTTGTATTTCAGTGATTTTATAGATACTGTATTAAGCTATTTCATAAACATTATTGAAGGTCATGAAAGGGGTTACAAGTCTTACAAGAGGATATATGACAGTATTTGTGATTAAAAAGATTTAAGACATTTTGAATATTTTAACCCCTTGGTGCCGGGTATGACGTGTACGTACGTGCTATGCCCACAGTGAGTACTTGTTTGATTGTTTTTACGCATAGATGGCAACACTTGTACTAACTCCCCAATGAGCCAGTTACGAGCACCGCCCGTCTCGCCCGTTTACTCGTTTCTTTGATTTACAAAATATTTTACGTAATCTTATTTTGCTGTTACTAATGTTTAAAAAAATTATAAAAATTATAATGTTTATGATAAAAAAAACACCATCGATTTTCATAGCACTAGTGAAAAATACGTTTTTCCCGCCATTTAAATCAGGCGCTAGCAGAGCCATCTATCGGCAGACATTTTACGAAAAACATAGAAAGTGGGCACAATATTTTCCCCATTTTTTGTTCATTTTCCCTGGCACCATTGGGTTAAATAAAGACAAGTTTTAGGAACACTTGATTGATAATTCAAGACAGGATATTACCTTCCTACCAATGATATAAATTATAAGAGTATACTAATCTGTTACAGGTGAGACTGATACAGACAAAGCTTCAGGAGTTCTGATACAGCAGACAATAGCACAGACCACTCAGATGGTAATGGACACGGTTTTGGAAAAATTACGAGCAGAGATCCATAAGCAGCACTCTGAGTTCTCTGACCAGGCACAGCAACAGGTGACTGAGCAAGTCAATCTCCAGATGCAGGCAGCAGCTGAAGTCCTGGGAACACAGATTACAGATCAATGCATTATTATTATTATTATTATTATTATTATTATTATTATTATTATTATTATTATTATTATTATTATTATTATTATTATTATTATTATTATTATTATTATTATTATTATTATTATTATTATTATTATTATTATTATTATTATTATTATTATTATTATTATTATTATTATTATTATTATTATTATTATTATTATTATTATTATTATTATTATTATTATTATTATTATTATTATTATTATTATTATTATTATTATTATTATTATTATTATTATTATTATTATTATTATTATTATTATTATTATTATTATTATTATTATTATTATTATTATTATTATTATTATTATTATTATTATTATTATTATTATTATTATTATTATTATTATTATTATTATTATTATTATTATTATTATTATTATTATTATTATTATTATTATTATTATTATTATTATTATTATTATTATTATTATTATTATTATTATTATTATTATTATTATTATTATTATTATTATTATTATTATTATTATTATTATTATTATTATTATTATTATTATTATTATTATTATTATTATTATTATTATTATTATTATTATTATTATTATTATTATTATTATTATTATTATTATTATTATTATTATTATTATTATTATTATTATTATTATTATTATTATTATTATTATTATTATTATTATTATTATTATTATTATTATTATTATTATTATTATTATTATTATTATTATTATTATTATTATTATTATTATTATTATTATTATTATTATTATTATTATTATTATTATTATTATTATTATTATTATTATTATTATTATTATTATTATTATTATTATTATTATTATTATTATTATTATTATTATTATTATTATTATTATTATTATTATTATTATTATTATTATTATTATTATTATTATTATTATTATTATTATTATTATTATTATTATTATTATTATTATTATTATTATTATTATTATTATTATTATTATTATTATTATTATTATTATTATTATTATTATTATTATTATTATTATTATTATTATTATTATTATTATTATTATTATTATTATTATTATTATTATTATTATTATTATTATTATTATTATTATTATTATTATTATTATTATTATTATTATTATTATTATTATTATTATTATTATTATTATTATTATTATTATTATTATTATTATTATTATTATTATTATTATTATTATTATTATTATTATTATTATTATTATTATTATTATTATTATTATTATTATTATTATTATTATTATTATTATTATTATTATTATTATTATTATTATTATTATTATTATTATTATTATTATTATTATTATTATTATTATTATTATTATTATTATTATTATTATTATTATTATTATTATTATTATTATTATTATTATTATTATTATTATTATTATTATTATTATTATTATTATTATTATTATTATTATTATTATTATTATTATTATTATTATTATTATTATTATTATTATTATTATTATTATTATTATTATTATTATTATTATTATTATTATTATTATTATTATTATTATTATTATTATTATTATTATTATTATTATTATTATTATTATTATTATTATTATTATTATTATTATTATTATTATTATTATTATTATTATTATTATTATTATTATTATTATTATTATTATTATTATTATTATTATTATTATTATTATTATTATTATTATTATTATTATTATTATTATTATTATTATTATTATTATTATTATTATTATTATTATTATTATTATTATTATTATTATTATTATTATTATTATTATTATTATTATTATTATTATTATTATTATTATTATTATTATTATTATTATTATTATTATTATTATTATTATTATTATTATTATTATTATTATTATTATTATTATTATTATTATTATTATTATTATTATTATTATTATTATTATTATTATTATTATTATTATTATTATTATTATTATTATACCACAAAGGTGCAGATTACAGATCAAGTCAAAATTGCTGTAGATTCAGCAGTTGAGGAATCTGTATCCAAGTCAGTTGCCTCAGTTGTACCGGAAGTTGTAGCAAAAGCAGCACCTGATATGGTTGCAGCAGTTGTTCCTGACATTGTTGCACAAGCTGTTCCAGGTGCAGTAAAGATTGCAGTTGCAGAGGCTGTACCAGAAGCTGTAGAAATGAAAGTGTCTAGTGCTGTATCATCTGCTGTACGAGATGCAGTTGCTGAGACTGTTCCTGAAGCTGTCGCTAAAGCTGTACCAGAAGCTGTATCAGAAGCTCTACCAGATGCTGTCAATGAAGCAGTCAACACAGCTGTTCCTGAGGCAGTATCAGCTGCAGTTCCAGAAGCTGTTGCCTCTGCTGCACCAGAAGTGGTAGCCTCACTCCTGCCATCTGTTGTACAGGCTGCAGTAAATGAGACAGTGTCATCAGCAGTTCCTGCTGCAGTGGAAATGATTGTAAATAAGGCAGGTGATCAAGATTTAAAGGTAAGGCCTAAGACTCACTTTAGGAATATATATGGAATCAAGGCCTAGTTGTAAAGAGGTAGGAGTGAATATACTGTGTATATTACATTATATGGCTATGTACTGTATGTTTATGCATTATATCTATATTTTCAACTTTGACTAATGGCATTTATTTACAATTGCAGCAGAGTGGAGGTGACAACATTGCCATTATGGGAGTCTCCTCTGCAACAGACAGTAGTGAAGAAGGGAAACTATCTGCTACAGTCAACATTTCTCAGAATCTTAATAATGGATCAAACTTTTCATTTGTACCATCTGGCAGTGCATTCTCAGCAGGGTTAAATGAATCTGCCGTAATACAGATAGTTAAGGATGCACTCATGAAGTATGATGCAGACAAGACTGGAATGGTGGATCATGCCCTAGAAACTGCCGGAGGAAATATTATATCTACACGCTGCACAGAGAGTTACCAGGTAAGACGAAGTCAGTGTAAGAGGAACATCCTCTTTTGCATTTATAATATCTTTGAATATATTAGTTACTCTTTTCTGTGTTTTTCAAATATGTTTTCTATCAAGTTTATTAATCATATGTTTATAAAAATTTTCTTTCTTTTTTTTCCAGGTACACCAGGCTGAAGTGAGCATTCTTGGATTCCCCGTATACCGCTACTCAACCAATACCCCTCGCACCATCATCCAGCCGGGCCGCATGCCTGGTCAGTGCTGGGCATTCAAAGGATCTCAGGGCTACATTGTGATTCAGCTGGCTGGATCCGTCCGACCAACTGGATTTAGCCTGGAGCACATACCCAAGTCTCTGTCACCCACGGGGGAAATTGACTCTGCCCCCCGTGAGTTCGAGGTATGGGGCCTGCATCAAGAGAGTGACGAAGGCGTTCATCTTGGAAACTATGAGTATAACCAGAACGGAGATCCGCTTCAATACTTCCCGGTCACGGAGGAAAATGCCCAATATTTCCCAATGATTGAGGTCAAAATTAATAGTAATCATGGGAATTTGCAATACACCTGCATTTACAGATTTAGGGTTCATGGTTTGCGGTATGTTTAAATGATGTACCATCGATCTCAAGTGCTATTAACTTTAGATGTGACTGTGGCCTTAGATTCAACAACTCCATTTGCATATCTGGATGAGTCATACTATCCTATTTTGTCAAATACTGCCAATCTCCTGTCCACTGATTTTTATTTTAAATTTTTGTATAGATTGCTTGACTGAAATTCAGAATCCCAAAGCCATATGTGCTTTTATGAAGTTGGATGTATTGTAAAGACATCAGTACCTGTTGTTGCCAGGGTAGTGAATCCCTTGGTGAATATGAAAGTGTGATAGTGTTTTCTCTTTTAATTTCTTTATTGTACAGTAAGACTGGACTGCAAGCTTTATATTCTTGTACATTGTACAGCACATTTCCTCTGGAATGAAAAATTGATCTCTTGTATGTATATTTCATTCTTTCATTGAAGAAATACAAAATTGATGTGCAAGTTGCTAAGTTCATTTTAAGCTACTTACTCAGCTAACTCTTGATTTACATCATTGATGAAAAACTCTCCTTCCCAAGATAATGCAATTTTTATAAATTTGGTTACCTTTCAGAATTATTTTCTTTGTATTCAAACTGCAGTATATTTAAGAATTTGAGTCATTAGTTTTTGTTTTAACTGTACTGTATAGAAAGATATTCCCTTATTTTAAGATTCCAATACATCAACAAAGAAAGGTCATATTGGTTCATGTATGAAATTTTCAAGAACTTCACATTTTTGTAAGTCAAGGTGTTGTATTGTTTGGGATATTTTTGAATGTCTGTGAAAAATAACTTCATGTTTGTTGATTGTTTGTATATATGTATGAGAGAAAGAGAGAGAGAGAGCGAGAGAGTGAGAAGAGAGAGTGAATTTACAGTTCAGGTCTGCATTTGCACAACTTTGTGCTGCAAAATGCATAAGAAGCAAATGTATTTTTTTTAATCCGGTAAAAGGAAAACAAAGCATTGGTGCTGAACATAGCCTTCCCAGCCCAAAGATTAAAATTTTATGGTGGCCTGTTACCTGCCACTGGTTGGTCATGAAGTTATCTGTACCTGTAGAAGGTATTGTATTTGTTGCAGAATGGAAGCACTAAGGATTATTCTTCCATGATGAATTAGTCCGCAGTTTCACTTTAAAAAAATCAGTGGAGGCTATGATATGGTTGTCAAGAGTTCACTCTAATGTTGCCAAAGGTTGCTTAAGATTGTGCCATTCACAAGTAATGAAGTTTACTCCGTGCCTGTTTTAGAGGCTTAGATAAACTAGTAATTTGAATAGTCAAATTGAAACCTTCAAACAACCCAAAGATGTGTAGGGCCTGATACTGCACATGTATTTTTAACATGAGGTACAAAGAGGAACAATGTTAGTATTTGTATGTAGATGTATGTACTTATTTTGTACAGGTCTTGGACATAAACTTTGTAAGAAAAATTTTGTACATTTATGAAAAGACACAAAAACAGGATATATTATATATATGTATGGGAGAATAACTGTTGGCTCGAGCCTGGTCTGCAAATCTTCATTTTCATGCTTCCAGGGTGTTAATTTTTTCTTTTCTTTTTTCTTTTATTTTCTCTTAATTTGCTAGTCTCCATTCTTGATCAGCCAGAAGAAACTAATAAAATATTAACACATTTTATACTGTGTTTTGATTTTTCCTATTTTGACCAACGATTTTGAACAATTTGTATGACCTTTAGTGAAGGTTGACATGAGGAAAGGATTTTTCTGCAGGAAAAAAAGAGAGAAACCAGGAAGGTTAAGTGAATGCAGATAATTTGAAAAAAATTTTGTTTATTGCTACAGATGTGGATTTGGAAATATGCAAATTAACCTTTGCACTCTTGTCTTATGCTATTAGATATGTATGTATTAAATATAAACATGTATGAAATCACAAATTCTGTTATTTAGAGTATTTCTGGAGACAAGAACTTTACAATCCTCTGCTCAAATAATTCTCAACAAACAAATAAAACAACTTTCATGAAAGTCCTTAGTCTTATAGAAAATCTTCACCAAATGAAATTAAAATGCATTCAGACAGAGTTACAATGCTTTATTCCTCCTACTTCTACAAAAGGAATGTTTAGGTGATTCCTGCCGATGTGGTCAGATAAAGGCAGAGATAAGATGTCCCACCACCCTGTTACGTGCAGCATTCAGGGTCATTCTAAGTTATGAAAGTTGATTTAGCCTTCTGCTACTGCTCCCCTTTTCTATATATTTTTCTTTCTTTTTTCCTTTTACCTTTTTTCTGTAACCTCCCACCCTCCAGGTGCTATCTTTCATCTATTCAAGTCGTAAGGATTTTTTAACAAATATTTCCATTGGTACACTGAATGAAAATGTAATGAACAAAGTGTAGATAATGACATGGACTTACAGAAGTAAATATATTTTTAGAAGAAACCTAAAAAATCCAGACCATTCCATATTCCAAATAAGCAAAAACAGGAGACAATTCCCTTATAAAAATATACACTTGCCAACTAATTTACCAATAAAAATTGGCTTCTTTACTTTAAGTTACCAGTGGAATTTATATAGAATTGATATGTAATTGTATATGAAGTACATGACAAACTGCGAAGTACCTTGACAAAAAAAAAAAAAAAAAAAAATAGCCAGCCATTCGTAGACAAATTATAGAGAGATCTTGTTCACAGGGAAATTATACAGATAATACACACGCGAGTTTTCTTACTCCATGCCCACGCGTATCCTCCCCATACGACAGAAGCGTTTTCTACGCAATTATCTCCCTACGCAATAACCCTTGTAAAAAAAAATAATCATAAAATAAAATAGTGTACCCTTTCCCCATCACAGAGAACGTGAATCTAATTCCTTCCGTTTTCTGTTGCGGGGGCCGCGCTGATTGGCCGAGGCCTCCTCTCGTCGCCCCCGGCCAATCAGAAGCCCCGTCGCAGCGCTGACGCAATTCCACATAAACAAACCCTGAGTGTCAGCTGACGCGTAAGGAGCTGCTGCGAGAGCACGCACGGAAGTAGCGAGGAGGAAGTGCACGGTCGCAGAGGGAGGGGGAGACTCAACCAAAAGAAAAGGAAAGAGGCCAGTGATGATGGAAAAGCAGATCGCAGTGGGGGTGTACGCGCTGGGTGCCTGGTTTTCCCTGTACCTGTTGATCGCCAGTTTGTTACGTTTGTGGACACGAACTAGTCATCTGCCAGACGCCCATCGCGCCCACATCACCGAGAGTTTCGTCTCGGGCGTGCAAGGAGCTGCCTGTGGGATAGTGGGACTGTGCACAGTGGTATCATGTAAGCACGACGTCATGGGCGAGAAGTACCCCCTGGCCGTGCACTACTCGTCCATAGGCACGGCGTACTTCGTGTACGACCTCTGGGCGATGTACCGCAGTCACGCAGCAAGCAAGGCCTTCGTGAAGAGCCAACTGGAATGCTTGCTTTCCTATCTCAAGAAAGACTTGCTGATGATTGTGCACCACATTACCATAGTTCTCGTGCTGTTTCCCGCGATGGTGTACCACTCTCCCATGGGGCACTTCTTCGTCGGATGTTTCTTCTGCACGGAGCTTTCCACCCCCTTTGTGAATGCGAGAGTGATTCTCAGCCGATTGGGCCTGAAGAAATCAAAGATTTATGTGGTGAATGGATTACTCATGATGACAATATTTGCCATGTGCCGCATTGCCTTGTTCCCCATCATGTATGCAGCATACTTAAGCCAGCAAACAAAAGCACCGACACACATCCAAGCGCTTGCAAAAATCCCCCTTACGTGTCACTTGTCGTGTTTACTAGTGCTTGCTCCGCAGCTGTACTGGCTGACACTCATGGTAAAGGGGGCTCTAGCCGTTGTAAATGCCCAGTCTTCAGAATTACCGGTGAAGGATGAATGATAATAGATGAGCTAGTCATCTTAATGGTGAAAAAAAAACTAATGCAATTCAGGACTCATTCAGCAATCTTAAGAACGATAATTGGAAATGCCGGAAAGGATTTTAAAATTACACAGATGTGACCATGTTAACCTGGAGAAAAATTGTGATAATCAAGTAATTAAGCTTCCGTCTCTTGTTGAAAATATTATATGAATTCCAAGTAAAATTGGAAGATGAATATAATGCATGTTTCTGAGGAATATTGAATTGCTCTATGAGCTTCTGTTTTTGAGTTATTGTTTTACTGTTTTGAAAAAATAAGTATTTATATATATATATTAAATATGGAATAGTAACAGTTACCTAAGATAACCATTCAGGAAATTTACTTTACTGGTAAAAAATGATGAACTATTTGTTACAAAAGGTTGGCAGAATGAGCTAACAGACATCAATGTATTCATTTAAGTTGTATTTCTATTATTTGTTATGGCAAATCTACTCAAGGATATCACATATGTAATGCTCATTGTAACATATGAAATATAAAACTATTTCTCATATATACACAACAGTTGCTCATATAGAATCAAAACCACTCTTATGCATGTTAATGTGATGGTCTGTGGTTATCACATGAGACTGATAATCACTTATACTGGTATATTACTTTTGTATTTTGCAGTTAATGTTATATATAGAGAATATACTAAAATAGAGGTAAAATTTATAATAAGAGTTACTAATACGTGCTATTTAAAGACAGAATCACAATTTGTCAATAAGTTCTTAAAAAAAAAAAAAAAATCTGTCAAGTAGAAGTTTGTTAACGGACAAGTAAGCCAGAAAGGAGTGTTCCACAATTTGTTGGTAAACATTTTATGCATAATGATTGTTGGCTGATTACAAGACTGTTGAAGTACTCTAAGTAAGGGGCATGTAAGGATTTATTTATTTTTTTTTCAATCACACAAATTATTTAAGTAATTATAGAATACAACCTCTTTCTTGCCCTGTTTCGATTAGGAGGATACAAAATTTGGTGATTAATTACTGTTGAGAAGAAGCTTGAAACTGACAAGAGGAGTTTTTCATTACATACTGGTATCAGAGATATTAGAACTATATATTGCATAATAATGATATTGTGTGGAGTTCTCTATTGGTGTCTGTAATTCTTTCCAGGAACAGATGTATAGGCTTGTTTGCTT